AAATCTATCATAATACATTACTCCTCTGGCAAAAAAGACGGGGAAAAGCGGGGACAAATTCATGACAGTTGGTCAAAGCAAAGAAGGAGAAGATTATCTGAAACAGAGTTTTTGAAATAATAATATTATTATCAGAGAAAATAATATCAGATAGCACATAAACCAATTTACAGGTGTTTTCTTCAATGAAGTGTCATCAGAATCCTCTGAAATCAAGAAAGAAATACTATGACAATGAATATAAAATCAGTCGATTCTACAATAACTACAAACTTCACTACCACGTAATCGTAAATCAAAACTATACAATGCAATTAAATATTCACGATGACGTCACCCCACATCATCAACTTCTCCTTTGTAATAACACAAACAATATTTTATTCGCTGTTCAAAAAAGAAAAATCTGCAAATAATAATAATAAAAAAGAACTTGCATCTACTATTATAAACTTACTTGCCAACGGTTTCGCACCTAGTATGCCACCCTGTATCGCAGCCCCATAGGCAACAGCTTCGTCAGGATTTATACGACGGGATGGCTCCTTTCCGTCGAAAAAATCTATCACCAACTGTTGTATTTTGGGGATACGAGTGGATCCACCAATGAGAACGATTTCATTAATATCTTGTTTCTTTAAGCCCGAAGCGTCAATGACTGATTGAACATGTTTCAATGTAGATCTGAACAAATCCTGAATAAGATGCAAGGTCAGATTAAGGTTATTATTTTGTTGGAATGAACATGCTCAAACTTCTTGTGGTGATGTCGGTGACATTACGAGCATGTCCACACCATATTGACGCATTAACCCTTGAAACAGACGATGTTTAAGTGTCCAATACAGTTTGTAAACTAGATACTGGTTGACGACAGCGGGTGAGATGAATAATCCACTTTTTGCAGTTGCCACGGTCAATCGATACATCGGTTAAGAACGTCCAGTAAAATGTTGACAATTCAAAATTCGATTTATTGTGAGATAGCTAATACGATCACCGGTACATTATATTAGTCTGCTTTTAATATAACGCCCAAAAAGGAAAACAAGAAATAGTGTATGTTAAAACGCTTACTAAATTCAGCTCTTCAAACTTGGCTCTTGTCAGGATTTCTGAAAAATCGTTTCCTTTATAAAATGACTCAATATATAGTAGGGTTTGATGATTAGAGCTCAACGCACACTTGGCCCTTTCAACTTCGCGGTGGAGTTTCTGCATAGCTCGAGTGTCTTTACTGACGTCATTTCCTGTCTTTTCCTTGTACAGTTTAACAAAGTGTTTTATTACACGATGATCAAAATGTTCACCGCCTGTATTATAACGAAATAAATATTTTATTCCAGGTTCCAACATTCTTAAGTACATGTATATTAAAACACAAACAGACTCTCAATACTAACCTAGGTGGATGTCGCCATCTGTTGCCAAGACTTCAGACGTACCATTATCAATTGTCAAAAGTGATACACCGAAAGTTTCAACTCCCAAATCAAACACCATGATATTATTCTCATCTTCCATTTTATTCATTGCATATGCCATGGCTGCCGCAGTACTGAGATTGAATAAAGAAATAGTGTTAGTTTATATAATATTGCATTACTGGAATCTGCCTCTCTTACTTTCAAGTGTTGGTGTGCGTACACATTACTCACGGTTCGTTGATGATTCTAATTACGTTGAGACCAGCGATAGCTCCAGCATCCTTTGTAGCTTGGCGATGAGAACTGTTAAAGTAAGTAGGCACAGTTACCACAGCTTTACCGACGGTTTCACCCAGATATCCCTCCGCTATCTCTTTCATTTTGCCAAGAACCATAGCGCTGATTTCTTCTGCTTTAAATTGTTTTGACATGTTGCCAGTTGACACCTTGATAATAGGTTTGTCGTTTATGTTTACTACCTATTGCAGACGTAAAGACAGCACAATATAAACGCATGACATATAAGTTGTTCCAGTATTTATCATAATTAATAAATCCAGATCGCATAAGGCCATACAGCCAACCAATCAAAAACACGTTGAACAGCCAATGAGTTGTGGTCCGTCACTTATAAACTTGCTTGAAGTATTTTACTAATTGAAATATTGTTATTTTCGGCAAATATTTTGTAAATATTGTACGTATAAAAACCATTTTCTCTGATTTCGGTTTATTTTTTATTATGTGTGTCACTCCGTTTTGTTTTGTTTCTGCGATTACAATAAGCTTTGTTTTGGATACGGGAGTTGTATTTGTATATACTCGCACCTTGCACGGGAAAAATGTAACATCGTGCTGAACTGACGGGTCATCCTAAGTACATCAATCTCTTCACATCAAACACAGTGTTTTGGGGATTTATTTTTTATTATGTGTTCCACCCCGTTTCGTTTCTTTTCGTTTCTTCGATTACAATAAGCTTTGTTTTGGACACGAAAGTTGTTTTGTTATATACTCGTACCTTGAAAGGGGAAAAATTGACAACGTGCTGAACTGACGGGTCATTCCAAGTACGTCCAATCAATCTCTTCACACCAAACACAGTGTTTTCAGGGTTGGACTGCAGTTGATTCTTGGCATCATCGCCGATCAGACGACCTCTATCTGCCGTAAATGCCACGTAGGACGGAGTGATACGGTTACCTTGGTCGTTCGCTATGATAATTACATGACCGTTCTTGTAAACACCAACACTAAACATGGGTAAAGATCATAATGTATGTTGGTCGTTGGTAATGTTAAGAAAATGTGTCGTGTGTTCAAGCCAATGACAAATGGCAAAATTTCAAATTCACAAACCTATCCTATTGTGAGTCTGTGTTTGTCGGGAAAAAAAATTAAGTAAAAAGCAAAACAAAATATCTTCTGGATATGATGTGTGAGATGATTTTAGCTCGCCGAGGAATGAAATATGTACGATAAATGTTAAATCCTGTACTAAATACAAAACATGAAGTTGTAGAATGGAAAAAACGTCTGCATCGAGCAGAAAGCAGTAAAGCCGGGTTCCAGACTGTGTAGCCGAATTCTTGAAACAGTCGGATCTACAAATGTCGGCAATTGAAACAATCCTTAAAAATCACCTAAAAGTGTCTCCCAATGTTATTTTGGTAGAGGAAATATAAATTCAACTAACAAAGAAATATAGTCTGTGAAGATGTATACAATTTCCGTACTTTTTTTTATAAAAGGAGGTTTTTTTTACGCATGCTTGCTGTATTGGCACAGGATTCTGTCTGGAAGTACTAGCGGTACATACGATTCTGAAGGCACGAGCGGTACATTTTATATTTCGGGTATTCCCCGGGATTTGATTGCAGCGACTCATGAGGCAGTTGCCGTTATTCGGAGGGTTAGAGTCTTGGTTCGTGACGATATATCAATACATTCAAGACTAATACTCGAAGCAATATACACCCAATCAATGGATAAAAATAAGCGTCTTACCATGAATATGTAGTACCCAAGTCAATGCCAATCACCGTCTCTCTTTTCTGAGCATCGCTTCCTATAGCGTCAGTAACTGTTACCACACAGAATATAACGAAAAGTATTTTGGCCGAAAACATCATTTTTAGATGCGTAAAGTAAGTGTATCGCCGCGTTCCGCA